AGGAACGCCTCCTGTTCTTGGTTTTAAATAGTTTCCACTGGTGCCCTATGGTTAGCGTTTCACTGGTCCTTCTGAAAAAAATCCCCTGGGTTGATTTGGGGAATTTCGAATACTCGAATCGGGCGCCCTCGTGATCTTCTCTGTTCAAGACTGAGGTGGTCCAGTTCCTTCAGCCTGTCGGTGTCAGACATTCCCTTACACACCCCAGAGTGCACCTGGTTCCTCTTGCTTTCTGCACTGGACTGGTTGCAGGGCGGCAATGTTGTTGTTTTTTTAACATAGAGATCACGCCTTTACACAGTATTCTATATTCTAAATAAAGCCTTACTAGTGCATTGTTAACATAACATCGTTGTTAACATGTACATTGTTAGCATGTGAATTTAACATCCTTTGATATGAAATCTGTGCTTTTGAATATATATCTTCCCATATATATATATCAGTCCCAATTTCTCAGAACGGTTATTAAATCTAATGTAACAAAATAAATTAATCAACGATATAGGAACATTTGATAAATTCCGAATTAAGCACAGAATCGCGAACTTTGTGAAAGTACTGTATTGTTCCCGTGCTGTCACAAACCCGCCCTGTCTCACCACGGGTGAGAGTGAGTGGTCGCACGAATTGCAATGTGAATCGGCCCTTCCTGCTCACTAGTCACTGTAATGACCGATGTAATGTGGTGTACAAGCAAGTAAGTGCAGGTTGTGCAGCAGATATTTCACTACAGCAATGTTACAACATGATCTGCATGCAGAGTTAACAAGTCAGCAGTAGTTGTCAGCAAAACCATCTTGAAGCAATATTTCAATTGGATTAAAAGAGCCTGATTCACCAGCCTGCTAGTTAACAATATAACAGGGCCGCTTCACCTCACCAGATGTTTTGTTGCCTCGTTCTGAATCGCAGGACATGGCGCTGCGCAGACCTGGACATTTAGTCTATTTTGTGATGTAAATTGGAGGTTTTACCAGTTGCTGTGTGTACGTTTTTTATTTTCATTGCATTTTGAAATGCACTCATCAATATTGATTCTTTCTAACCCCAAAATATGGCAATAGCGTTGCAGTTTAATGACTGCCATACACCTCCCTGCAGAGTAGAGCTGCTCTTCAGAGGCAAATGAAGTGGGTCCCTTATTATGTGACACTGGGGAATCTTTTGGAATGAAAAGCAATATACTGTATACTGTAAATATAAAACTCTCCTCCGGGACTGGACAGCCCTGCTGTAGACACAGCACCCCCTCCTGGACCGGGACTGGACAGCCCTGCTGTAGACACAGCGCCCCCTCCAGGACCAGGACTGGACAGCCCTGCTGTAGACACTCTGACCCCTCCAGGACCAGGACTGGACAGTCCTGCTGTAGACACAGCGCCCCCCACAATTTAATATTTTTATTAATTTCCCCACAATTTCTTCATTGCATCTATTGTCTATTGAATGCGTTATATTGCGTAATATTGTTTAGCGGTCCGAGTATCTTAAAAAACGGTATTGCGGTATTTGAGTATTTCTTAGTTTACGGCAGTCAACGGGTTAAATAGGCGTGGCCGCAAACATGAGTGGCATAACGATTGACGAATGGGAGCCCGCTCTCCGCACGTGCTCAAAATATGCTTTGTGTTTCCGGAGTCGTGAGCGCACACGTGCTTCCTGGAGCAAGCTGGCTTCTCGTGCTGCGCCTGGAGTGTGGACAGTGGTCTCGCGCGTCGGCAGGTGAGGTTCTTTATAGCGGCATCAACATAAGAAGTAGTAAATAAAATGAACTTCCAGACTGTAACAGTTTATAGATTGTAAGGGGGGGCTGAGGCTTCCACCTCGTTGTACCGCTTGTGTCGGTTCTGCTAATCAGCCAGATCTAAGATTTCAGCAACCAGCCAAAACAAAAACGCAACTAATGCGCCACAGAGAATATGTCCGCTTGCGGTCGGCTTGCTTGTAGCCCGTGCCTGTGTGTTGGGGCGGCTGCGGCTCTCTCGGTCTGCGTGCCCGGACGACCCTCAGCCGCCTGCTGTGTTAACAGGCCGGC